TTTCTGAGTTGGCAATTTGTTTTGTAAGAAGTGTGCATAATCTATTATAGTTATAGAATATCTAGTCTTTTTCTGGGTGATAAATTGAATATTCAATCAAAAATCAAGGATTTTAGATATTTATTGTTGCAATTCAAAAATATTTATTAACTTCCAATGTAATTTTTTACATAATACTTATATATGATGTCTATTTGAGTAAATACCATTTTACAATTATTAGTTCATAAATAATCATTAAAGAGTTTTTCATTTAAAAAATATGACAAATCGATTCAATATTTTCAAATTTCCGATGTGTTCATTATGCATATTTGGTACCCACCAGCCACTAACACCTAACACCATAACGACACATAAAAATAATTTAATGAAATAATAAATTTATGTAGGTATTTTAATTATAATTCATTCAACTTCAAAATTATTTTAAGTGCATGGAAGACCATACAACTTTTAAATTTTGTGAATTATGATGTTTATTTTTAAATATTTAATTACCTTAACTATATTATTCTTATATTTTTTTATAGGAAAAAATCCATGTGGCCAATTTGACTTCTTATGTTGAACTTCTCATAAAGAACTACTGATTATATTACTACTGCTATACAATGTAAATTTAGAATTTAGAATTAGTAAATAAAACATTCTTATTAATTTTCATATTATTATATTAATTATAATCAAATAAGTTTTAAATCTATTTATTATAAACTTATAAATAAAGAAGAAAAATTGTTCATTTATTCAAGGTAATCTCTTTAACTACTTAACCGATTTCAAAAAAATTTACCATCAGAAAGCTATACTCTTCAATGGATCTCAAGGCTGTATCACATCTCAATAAGTGAATCTTAATTTTTTTATACAAAGCTAAAAATAAGAGAAAAAAATAGTTATTATGATTGATTATAATTTTAGGCCTGTATTTTATATGAATGTGTGTTAAATCTTCAATGGAGATTAAGATGGGGTTAATTTGTCACTTGAAGTTTTGAATATCTCTACACTGGGGATTAAATAACAAATTGAACACACATTTAAATCATATAGAGTTGGTATTTTTAGCAGGCAACCAAGTGCGGGATCAGCTATGTAATATAAAAAGATGATTTTAAAATTGTTATAAAATAACAAAATATCAATCGACTTAATACACTTTAAATTGCTGGCTTAGAAAATTTATTTTGAAATTTTTAGTTTTCCTCCAATGGAGTAATTACACGATAATAAAAANAATGTGGCCAAAATTGTCAAAAGACTGTGAATGTTTGGGAAAAAATCATAAGACATTGCAGACAAAGTAGTCAATGATGTAGTAGGACGGTCTCTATCAGATACATTTTTCCATTTAGCTAGCCATATTTTAATTTCTGCGTCAAATGTTTCATAATTAGGTAAAATATCTTTATAAAAAAGCGCTACCTCTTGAAAATCTTTTATACCAGTTGTATTCTTAAGACAATTTGGAATAAGTGATTGTAGTTTAGCCATTACATGGTGATGATTAGTAAATCTATCTAGTAATTGACAAATAAAATGATCTAAAAAAGGTAAAAATATTGATCTTTTATAATACTGTTCCGGAGTATCAGATGGAATATTGTTACGTGCAGTTTGTCGCCCTACAGTTCTTGGTACCTCAATGATTCCTTCTAGCATAGACTCTTCTGAATTAGAAAATATTTGTTTAAACTCATCATCGCCATTTTCTCGAATTTCTTTAAATATTTGACATACATCTGTTACTCGCTCACAACAATATGACAAATCAATATTTACTTTTTGTAGTGCTATAGATAGTGGTAAAGTTAAAGAAAAAAACTTCTCAATCACATGTAAAGCTATGATAAAAACTGAGTTTTTAATGGAATTTAAAAGTTGAAAAGCTGTACGTGATGTTTCTACATTTTTATTTCGGGGGGGGGGGGGTGATCTGGTAATCTGGTAATCTGGTCCAGTGATCTGGTAATTGTATAATATTATTAACTATGCGTGTTATACATTAATATAAAATACTATCTATACAATTTATAAATATGAGTGTATGGCTAGAATAAAAAAATGTAAAATGATTATAAATAAGTAGTCTCAATATTTTCAAATTTTTATATAACTCAATAACATAATTTATTTGCAGGGATACCTAAATTGTATACATTCATTTTTTTTTTAAGTTCATATTGAATTTTAGTGAATTTTAAAAGTTCACAGTTCAATGTATTATAAAATAACATAACAAACCTAGGTTGCTAGGTACATGTTTTATGATTATTAAAATTATTTTTTATGATAAAACACATGACAATTTTGATGATTTGTTCGGACAATTATTATTTTTATTCATTTTCGTATAGTTTTTGAATATTTTAATAACATACTTAGTACCTATATATTAATTGTGTACTGTGACTTGATTTTCTTCACTGATAAAGTTTACATAAACTCAATTTTACCTGTTTGTTTTCCTGACAGAATTTACATGCGCCCACAGCAATAGTATCTTCATAATAGAATAAGCTATATTAAGTTCTTTTGCAATTATCTTCACGTAGACTATAGGTTAAAGAGTACATTGTAACCTTGCCTGTAAAAGTAATGTAACTATATTAAAATGGTGCCCTTCGCCTGCTGGCCCCAGTTACAAAACTAGACCACTCTTCGGATGGGGGCTCGGCCCCCACACACCCCAGTTCTAAAATAATATACAATTTTACCATTTTATGAAAAATTAAAAACCAAATATATACATTTGTAGGTATAAATTATACATTTTCTTCATTAAAAACTAGTAAAATAAAAAATTTTCAGTGAGACAACAGTTGAGAACCAAGGTTCAAGTAAATATATATAAGTTTATTTTATATAAAATAATCAATGAAAAATATACCAATGATTAAATGATTAGTTTTTACATATACATTAGAGAGTACATTATATACTATCATATATTACTTTTGTATAACCTACCTAAATTACAAACTGTTAAATTATTTTTAGTATAGCAGTTGTTATTATTTATTTTTATTATTATTATTTTATAATTCAAAATTGTAATTAAAACAATCTTCACTCAACTGTTTAACTAAGTATGGTTAATTTACAAAATAACACATACTTTAATACTATATTATAAAATATTTTTTGAATACACATAATACTTGTAAAATAAAATGTGAATCTGTAAATGATCTTTCATATACTAGCTTAGAACGATTTGTAAGCATTTATTTCAACTTTTAAAAAAATAATTTAATTTAATTTTAAATTTTTTGGACAAATTACATAAATCCACACAATTTAAATTTATTCAAGATCCACATTTTTTAAAAGTTAATTAAAAATATTAATGGTGTTAAGTTAATTCATATTCTAGCAAATACAAATAATTGTATGATAAAGATATCTTTTAATAATCATTGATGAACCATTTTTACATATTGGTAATTTTTTTAAGTTATAATGGTTTGAATAAAAATATTTTATTTACAATCTAACAAATATATTATGAGGAGTATTATAATAAAAATATTAAAATATCATAAGCATAGTCATATAGACTATAGTTAATCCAAAAATAGGCAAATTGTACACATAACATAACATATTATATTAGATACCTGATATACCTACTGATCAAATAAAAACAACTATTTGCTATTTGTTGAATTAAAGTTACTCTAGTAAATAAGTCATATTATAAATGTATTGATCGCGTAATTTAACAGTTTATAACTTATATTAAAAAAAAATTATATATATATATTACATGGTATAATTTTTACATAAGAATTTATTATATTATATAGAATAAGTCTCTAACATACAATTTAGTCTCTCATTTTTAAATTTTATAACACTTGACGCAAATCAATATAATCAACTTAATTTTTTCAAACCTAATAATTACAATATACATAAAGTACATAAACTCTTAAATAAATAATATATATAACGATTATAGATGAGCGATAACCTTATAAAATAGGATATTGTTTAAACTGAAAAAGGATATCTGATGTTAAGGTATTTTCATTATTGGAAAGATATGAGTCTATTCATAAACATAAATTTTTCACTGTATACAGAAAGAAAAAATGTAGTTTAGAAATTTGATGACACAAATAGGTAAGTATGAAAACAAAAGACTCTGTTTATTTAATTTTCATACTGATTTATGTTGGCTAATATCATGAGTAATAACAAGTACCAATGACAAACCTGTACTTAATTAAGGATTAGATATTTTAATTATAGTTATTATTATGATTTACCAAGGGACTGTTAAGATATAAAAATTAATAAGTCAATATGAATATCAAAGAAATCATTAACAAAATGCAGCCATTCAAAATCAAAAATGTTGATAACTTGTTGCACCTATTTTGTTTTTTGTTGAAAATTAAACTGTACTTGACAGCAAAATGTGTTAACATAGGTCAAAGACATTTAAAAAAATTGAGTAAATTTTTTCATTTAGTTTTTTTTTCAAACATAAGCTAATTGGCCTAATTTATTCATGCACTAAAAACATTGTTCAATAAATTGTTGGATACAAATTTAAACCATTCTCATTTTTAAAATTGAGATAATGCATTTCAATTGTAAGCCGAGTATGAATGGTGCCTCTATCTCAAACAAATAACAGTGTTATATGTACATTAAATATAACAATTTACAGTTATTAATACTTCAACAAATTTTATCATAATTGATACATAAAAATTTATATTGACTCATATTGACAGGACTAAAATTTCTAATCATAACAAATATTTATATTTTAATATGAAACTCAACTAATAATTATTTTATAATTTTGTAAATAACTTTGAGAAAAAATCAATTTATTTTATTTTGTGAATAGTTTTGTCTCTTTAAGCACATATTACACCAGGAAAAAAAAATACTTAACTTATGTAAAAATATTCTGACATCCCTTCCACAAACTAACCACAACAAAAATGTAGTTGAATAAATAATTTAAATACAACTGCTAAAAAATATTGAATGTTATATTTGCAATATAATTTTACATAGATTGTGTTAGGCAACATGTTTAGTTTATTAGCTATTTTATAAAAACCAACTATGTGCTTCAAAGAAACTGAAAATTTTACATATTAAATTTAATAATTTATGATAACGATTTTTTTAAATTTGAATCAAATTATATTTATGAAATAATAAGCAATCCATATTTGTGGTTAACAAACTGCTAATTATGCAAAAGGTTACCTTAATAAAATAACATAATAAATCACAATACATTTTTGTTCTTCAATATTGTGCAATAAGCTTTTAGAAAACACACAACAAGAAAAATGTACTTTATACCAGGCTAGCTTCATTTTGTTTACTATTCTCATCATTCTCATCATCATCTTCATCCATCATTTGTTTGGCCAATATTTTTGCAGTCTGGAATTCATTATAATGTTCCTTTCTTTTTTGTTCAAATACCTCCCTTGTAACTGAAATTATAAAATGGTTTAATCAATTAAATATGTCAAGAATTTTAGTACCTAACAAAGTTACATAAATTATGAAATAGTTACACATTTGATCAGTTTTATAAAATACAACTAACTTTTATCTTCTGGAGATTCATCTTCAGATTCAGGTTCTTCTTCTGATTGAAATGAACTACTTCTTCGGCTACCTCCTTCCTCAATCCTAGTATATAAATTAAATTATTATTTATTAATCAAAATTAAGCATCAAGGTGATCAAGGGACTGCAAGATTTTAATCAAAAGGATTGTGATGGGGATTATGAATCTAAATGATATGATAACATTATATTTTGATCGTATTATATATAATTATGTTTGGTAATAATTCATCTTAAAAAAAATAAAATGTTAATTTTAGAAAATATTTATGCTAGGTCCTTCATATTTATTTTAAAACTGTATAATATGATATTAAATACCTTTTCCTCAACTCTTCCGCATTTACACCACCATCCATTTCGTCATCATCTTCATTAACTTCTCGTTCATATGGTGTTTTTGGTTCATCTACTTTCATGTGTCCATAATCTTTATCTGGTGGATGTAAAGTTTTTAATATGTTCATTTCATCCCACTTAGCAGACTTGTTCCCAATTTTTTTCTGTTTTCTTGAATATGAAAAAACAGAATTACGGTTTATTATATTAGGTTGTAATACAATAAACATAAAAAGATTTATGATTATCCTAAAATTAACTTACTCTTTTTCTTCATAACTGACAGAAGGCTTTAGAATACCTTTGGACGGTTCTTTTTTCAAGTTATCCGTGGGGTTTTCAGATCCTGATGGACTCGAAGTAGAAGCCATTTGTATTCGATTTAATTTCTAATTGCAGTTGTAACTTTTAATAGGAACTTTAATAAAGTTGCATTATTTGTGTTTAGGAATTTAAAACTATTATAGGCGCATATTTTAGATATTTATTTAAATTTGAAATATGTTATCACTTTTTACTTATTATTTTTTTCAACTAATAAGAAATAGCAAAAATAAAATATTTTTTTGTTCAATTGAGTGATAATGTTTTGTGAGTTAAAAAATAAAATGTTAAATGATGTTTACCACGGAACTTAGTATCTATTATTTTAAATCGTACTGTTTAGTGCTCGTTGACCAAAATGTACCATGTACGGTACACGATGTAGAAAAGAGATTATATAGGTATATATATTCTTCCATACCACAGAACAATTTATTATACTCCATGGGTTCTTCTCTACATCGTGGTATGGCGGTATCGAATTCTAACTTAACGATACACAGTTGCAGTAACTTTGAAAATCATAATGAACTTTAACACATGTTATATTGAATTAAGCAAATTTAAGATAATACAGATTTCATCTATTCTGTGATACAGCTTTCGATCAATATAATAAATTTAATAATAATAGGCAGGTTGAGACGTTGAGTCCTAGCCCCTAGGGTTAGGGTTGAACAGTATTTGACTATTTTAGTAAAAGTATTCAAGTATTTTTTAATGCAGTACCTACCTATTGAATATTTTTTTAAACACTTTCAACGTCAAGTATTTTTTATATTATTTGAAATACCTACTATTTAGATTCTGATTTTTTTATATTTGTATCTAAGACTTTTTCTAGTAGAAAAAATGCTGCGATCATCGAATTTGAAACCTTTGGCTTCTGGTCATGATCTATTTGGTACTTTTGGGAGGTAAAAATTGAAAAATCTTTTTATTTTTTAAAATTATATGAACAATAAAAGGCGGGAAGTAAATACCGCAATATTATACAGTATAAAAAATTGTACCCACTTGTCGAGAATGCAATTGTAATGGATGTGTTAAATTAAATTTCAATGATAGATGCTTGTATGCGACAAACGATTCTGAGGGTTGATGGTGAGTGAGCCTAACATACTTTAATAATTAGGTAAGTAATCAAATTTAACAATTTTATTTAAAAAAAATTAATAAAAATCAAAAATTTCTCATTCGTTTATTACATAGGTAGCTCAAAAAGAGTCAAACTATTTAAAAAATTGTATGGTGTATAAAATATAGTCATATTGACATTTTTCAAAAATGTGAAATATCAACGGTTATTATAGTTGTTGAGTTAAACTAAAAAAAAAATAATCTATTTTAAGGCACCTAAGTCATATAATTTAGCGGTCGGACTTATTTTCGAAGTTCACGATTTTCCGATTTTGGGTATTCTCTTTGCTCATATGACGTGTATACTGTACATATTGCATACGCACAGCGCTCTATTTTATCTCGCCTTTTATGATTTTTTTTTTTACATAATAAGATTAGTTACACTGAATTTTATGGAGCAATTATATTTTGTTCACTATACTAAAAGTTTGTTGCATCGATGAAACCAGAAAAATTACATTTTTTTATTTTATTGATTTCATGTGTAATAAGTCTGAAAAAAAACCAACCAACTTGAGTTTTGCAACTGGAGCTGGTAGGCGAAGAGAGTTACTTTAATTGCAGGTAATGTTACGAAATGTTCGCACGACCTCGAGTCTGGCGACCGGAGACGACAGGCGTATAGCGAGCGACTACTTGTCAAACTATAGCTCACCCATTTGGTTACCTGTTATATAAGCTTAGGTCTGTACTCATCAACTCTCCTCCTTCGCAAATCGCAGACCACGAAGGGTCCACCTTCTACCACGCTCCCCAAGTGGACTATTTCCATCCCTAGGGCTTTGGGGCGATAGGAACCGGCAGGTGTAGGAAACCACTAGTCAATATAGTCAGTATAGTCAGAACTAGTCACCAATTATCACACTGTAACGTCTGTAACTGGTAAGGTTACGAGAGGTCCATAGGACCTAGAGTTTTCTGAGCTGACGTGTTGTCAGGTAATCTTGTCTACCGGAAAATAATTGCAAATATAGTTATTATTGTTCAGTATAGATAATAGGCGTATATCATAAGGACAATTAAAAGCGCGATAAACTATAGAGTGTTTCGCAAATGTGCATAAAAATGGCAAAACCGGAAACTTCATTAAGCTATACTATCAAAACTAAGTTCTACAGACAAATTCTAATCCACCATCGTTTTTCATATTCAACTACACCAGATTATGCAAAACAAATTGCAAATAAAATAATTTCCGGTAAAGTAACAAAGTTCCACGGGTATTTCAGATCTAATTGTAATTGATGATTGAATATAAACTATGAAGTTTTAATGCTAGCAATGGGTGTCAATAGACCATAGACCGCATAGATAAAATATTTATTTATTCAAAATTTCAACTAATACAATAAGACAATTAATATTTTTAATTTTTGTGAATGTGAGACAACTAAATATGGGGTGGGACCTTTTAAAAATATGGACACAAAGGTTGATCTCAAAGACGAACAAGTCCCCTTATGTGAATAAAAGGTATAGCTTGTAAAATTTATATAGTAGGTATATTGATGAATTTACAAGAAAAAATAAGTATTCGATTACGGAAAAGGCGTTTTGAAAAAGTGGTCCTATATAGTGTAGATCACATTGCACTATTTAAAAATCTATCCAACTGAAAAAAATTGACAATAATAATATAATGTATATAGTTTCATTTGTTTGGAAACTTATCTTAGATGGATATTTTGTATACTAAATCGGATCTAAGACAGTTTAAAAGAAGAAAATACATAATTAAAATTGTTTATAAGCGTTGAAAGTTAACAGTTTGACGATATTTTAAAAATACATACAATTTAAAATTATAATACCTCTGACATGAAAATATAATATACTAATATACTTTACAGGGATTATAATTTTTGACCATCGGATTCTACTGCATATATCGAAGTAAAAAAATGAACAAAAACAGTACGACCAATTTTGGTCAGTGTATTATAAATTCCTTATAAGTTAAAAGTGTTAAAACGCCTATTTTTTGTGCATAGCAGGTTATCTTTTTTTCCCTGATATATTATACCTAGGCTACTACATTTTCACCAGTACCTATTCGTTATAATGAGCCCATTAAAAGGTTTCCGTGTGGAGTTTAACAAAATTTCCAATAACAAAAGCAAGAACTCAAGTTATAAGAGTTATAAGACTAATGAACTAAATTCCAAATTCACTTATATATATTAAGTATCAATAATTATTAATTATAAACTTATTTTTCAACGCAAACGATTATAATACTTTTGCAAACAACTGCATCGTATTCATCATAATGGTTATTTCTTTGTATATTGACGTCAACTTCACAATCGTTTGTTTTTGTGAATTAATAATTGAGTCCATAAAATATTCATTTGCTGAAGGTTCACTTTCGGAAGTTTCGTCCATCTTTACGTAAATCGTATGGATGCCAGTCTTGAAAATAGCTTTGCGGTATTTCAACAGACTTGATACTAAATCGTCCGTAAACCGTCGACAGTTTTCCGTTTCCTGATTCAACATTTTTGTTTTAATATGTTGGTACTCCAATAACGAAGTACAGTAGTTCAGAAATTCAGTTTGCCTGTAAGTATATTTAGTTATTTAACGGAGGCACCTGGTTTTACGAAAACGCAACTACAGGTATTTTGGTAATGATTTATAATATAATTAACAAAAAATTTTTGCATTTATTGTATAGCTATATATACGTATTATTATACATTTTTATGAATTACATGCTTCAAAAACTCTAGAAGTTTACTTAAAAATAATAGGACACCTGCTGAAATATTTTAAGAGTGAGTCGAAGGCAACGATATAATTTTTACCATTATCCCATAGTCGTAAATCTTTAGGGTGCACTCACCGTGGTTATTAGAGTTAAAACCTCGATCGATAGTTTTTATCATGGCAAATATAAAATTACATGGCTGCTCCACACCATTCTTATAAAAAAATCACCAAAACTGTGCATATGTATGAAAAGAATGATTAAAATAAGTGCAATTATTTTATGTGTTATTGTGTTAGTGAAATAATTGTTGCAACAAAAACTAAAAGACGGGCGATAGACAATAGCATCGTCAGCACGATAAGATTATTTAATATTTATCTTTATCATCAGTCAGTCAGAACCCAAAAGTAATTCTTTAAAAATAAACCACCCGGGTTCATAGTAGTTAAAAACCTTGCCACACATACACGTGTTTGCTACCTACCGTAAAAATCATAAAAACAACCGACCGTACCAACCTACCCCTACAACAGCTAATTGCCCTTAGTCGCCTGGCTAAGGTCAATAAAAAAAAAAAAAATTTAATTTACAATAATGAATGTTTATTTAAAAAAAATATGTTGGTCTCCCCTTTTTGGCAGTCAATATGCTTTGATTTTTTTTTATTGAAAACTGGAATCTAGTTGGTACTTTTGGGGGTTGAAAGCAAAAAATTCCTGGTAGTTTCAAAAGCCCCGAGAAAACCAACAAAAATTAAAGTAAATAGTGATTTTTACATAGAATCAGTTTTTTCTACAAACCCGATTAAGTTTTTATGGTGCACCTTTTTTTAAAAACTTTGATGGCACTATTATGGCAGGGATATACATTCATCAGCCAGACTGATGTATATTTTCATACCCTACGCTCAATGTTGGCTTACAATAAATTTACAGATGGTCGTGGCCACATGAGGATAGTCGGGATATGCCCCGGTGTTATGTATACCTAACTCGAAAATTAAACGGTAGATACATTACATTTTTACCAAATGTTTATAAGACTATTTTTCATTCATGATAAAATTATCAAAATATTTCAACTGTTGTTTGTTTTTGAGCATGAAAAATTGTTGTTTTTTTTATTTTTTTAAAAAATAATTTTTGGCTGTATGGACAACAATTTAAAAATGTAATACAAGGTCCCCCAAAAGTTATTATATGTGTAATTTAGTGTAAATTCACAATAAATTATTTTTAGTGTTTTTTTTTTCGTGTTTAATGGTTTTTATCATTTAATTCAAATTTAAGACATTCGTTACAAAATAGGTACACGACACCAATATATACAAGACTACAGGAGAGCGACACCCACTTGACAACCTTTTTATTTGTGTCTAAAGAGACTATAAAAAGTACTCTAATCATCAACTCTGGTGGAGGATTCTGGAAGAAAATTGGATCTAGTTGGTACTTTTGGAATGTTAAAATTGAAAACTCGGTACTTTTTCAAATAAACAGGTAAAGTGCGAAAATAAATTTAACATTAAAATACCTAATAAGGTTAAAATTGATTGTTTGGTACCTTGATTAAAAACACAAAAAAAAGCCGAATTTTTATAGTATTACAATGATTGGAAATTTAAATAAAGTTTCTCATAAGTAGTTCGTATTTTAATCAAAAAATCACTGACTTATGAATTTATGATAATAATTAATAGCCAATGGGTATGCAAATGTAATTGTTTTGGAAAAATTAAATTCAACCTATAATAGCAATATAATATAAAATATTCTACGCTGACACTCCGAATCGTTTTTCGTATTCATTAATATATCATTGAATTCAGATTTAATTCATCCATTACAAAGACCTACTCGACACCTATACTGACAGCACTACAGCATAGAAATTCCCACTCGCCTACTTAATAAAAAATGTTTAATATTATATACAATAAAATATGATTTAAAAAAGTAGGTAACTAATATACGACATATGTTTAAAACAATTTTTAATAGTGTTGAATTTTATTGTGGTGGATAAGTTTGAATTGGAAAAATAATTGTGGAACTGGATACATTATACCTATCTCATTAAGCGGAAACGGATATTGATTATAGTTGGGGAAATATGCACTTTTGGTGGAATCTAAAGTTCCAAGCTCTTAAACCTCCAGAGGGGGTCCAGAATTCAGACCCTGCGAACATCATACAACTGTACAACTATTAACTTTCAGGTACCTACCTACTACCTTTATAATATATTAATATAGTAGCAGCCCCTCGGTATATGTGCGCCGATATATATTTTTATGTATTCTGGAGTACTTGATGCGATCCTTGTCGATGCTCGAATGAATGTCAGATAACCGATCGATGTTTGTAGTCAAGTACTCCAACACTTGTCGATGATTGGACGGCACATTGCAGACCGGACAGTGTGAACAGGCGCTGGACCGGGTGTCCATCAATGCCGAAACGAACGCGCTCATCGTGTGGTCGGCCGTAAGATGGTCATTGGCCTGCACGACGGCCGTCGGCTGTTCCATTCGGAAATCGGCCCCGCAGTCGCACGGTCCACCGCTGCAGTGGACGAACGTGAACGCGTCGCTGATGCCCATCACATCGTAGTGGCGGCCATCGACGTACGCGAACCGGTACGGTCGAGTACACCGGACGGCCCACCGGCGGACGGTTATCTCGGCGTGTCCGCGGCCTCCGCCTGGCAAGACGACGTGCGCTACCATCTGCGAAGCGTAATGGAACGCGGCCGGTACGACGATCACCGCTGCCCCGTCCACCGCGGCCATGTAATCGGCCACCGTGTACTGGCAACGCACCCGGCCACTGTCGATGTCGAACCATTCACTGTCACACGTCAATGACACCCATTTGTCGCCAAACGCACTGACTCTAGCCGTGACGTCTGTCGAACCCATATTGATGGCCGCACAGGTGAATTCTTGTATCTTCGTATATACGTGTTCGTTAACTTTGAACGTGCGTAATAATACGTAAGTACCAAGTCGATAAATATATAGGTAAATTTAGATTTTAGATGGTTAGGTGTGACGTATAGGTAAGTACTTGATGGCTACTGCGCTGGAGGATCCTATACCCACATACTTATTGTGCAATAGGTACATATATATATATATATATATATAGGTAGGTACTGCAAATGCCGTGTCTTTCGTGAGTTGCTCAGCTTCCGGTGGTGAATACTATATTGTAGGTATAGGTACCTAAATAATTTGGTGTATTAAATGCATGAGTGAAAATATAGTTCAGTATGGATGTAGATGGTCTCAAAACTCTACAGCGATTAGCGATCGATGTAGGTGTGTCGATTATCAGATCGCAATTGGTTTTTTCCTACAATTATTAGAGTCTATAACGGAATTTTCTGGGTGGCTATGGTGACCGAGTGATAGTTTTAAGTGTCACTTTAATAATTTATAACATATTATTATGTTGTACATAGAAATAGTTCTTAAAATATCATATGACCTACAAATCATTATTTCATACAAAACAGAAGTCAACGAATGTCGAGACAAGAAAAATTCAATGACTACCTACTCGAGGCGATGACAATTAGGTACGACAAGACCGCAGCAGTCATGGATTTGCAAGTGATTTTGTAGCTAGCGACCGGCCATATTCAATTTTTCGTTTTCGTTTTTGATTGTAAGATTGATTTTATTATATTTCAGTTTGTTTGAAATTTTGAATCAAGTGTTCTTTGTTTTCTTTGTCAAAATACTTGTACCTTTTGTTAGAGTACCCACCTATCATCTCAAATCTGCTTACACTAAGGTGTTTGTGACGATAGAACACTTTTATAAAAGGTAGCAAGTTATACATATCGTACTTACTTTCTCTACCAGTACCTAGTCGTTACTGTGGTCAGTTGAGTAAGAGTAAGTTTGTAAGACTTAGTCTAGGTTAAAGAGATCTCACCACAGAATAGGTGAAACTGTTTTAGATTATGAGCGGAGGGATGAATATATAATATATTGATTTTACAATGTTTGTTCTTTTATATATTTTTTTTTTGTGTGTCTATCATCATGGTTTGGGGAAGTGAGTCACGAAAATTATTTTGAGTTAGGCTTAGGAACACATAAAAGAATTTATTTTTACATCTAACATTTAAAAATGTAATATAAAATTCCTTATATGTTTGTCTACCTTTATAAAAAAAACGGATCGATTGGACGGTCAAATTAAATTTTATTTGTCTACAACATTCGAATTATCATGTTACGATTTTCTTTTTTGTTGTAATTCAAAAACAAATAACTGTAGGCACTTGAAATTTACACCATATATTTATTTCATCATTTCATATGATTAATCAAGTATATTTTGACTTGTTTTAAGTTATTGTCGGACATTATCAAATTTAAAATTTTGGTCTTTTTTTATTTAAATGTCAATACAATTTTATTTGTTGGGTCAAATAGCGTGAACATTTAATACAAGGCCTCTGATTTATTGTTTCAATATCAGTTAAAAAATATTAAAAATGCATAAGCATTGAAAGTTCAAATTTTGACAATAGGACTACTGGCCCTTCAGCAGTCATACTAAGCAACAAGGCCCCAGGGCAATGCACTGTTTGTACCAGTGTGGTTTATTCGGCACTGCACAAGACAACAATTGAATAGTAAATTATCGCTCTGGCCTCTAATAATCAAGCAGTTTAGAAGACTTGTAAGCTATAAGCATTTTTGAACACCTTTAAGTTTGAGGTATTGAAGAATCCGAAAGATCAGAATTTAAATAAATATGTAATTAGTTAATTAAAAAATAGAAGTGTATGTGCTTGGTAAATCATTCTATATAGTGTACCTATAAACTTAATTTTATTAATATAATATGAACATGCAAATCTATAAGCAGGGACCTAATTAATTTGTCTATTAAGGGTGGTGTTTGTTAATACAGATTTCACGGTAAAATAATTTTTTTAATTTTTCTTAGTTGATTGTTTGGATTTGAAGAAATAAGCTTAAACAGTACACCGGACAAAACATATTTAAGCCAAAAATAATTTGTTTACCAAATTTATGAAGTATTTCAAATAATAGAGTATTGAGCATATACCGAAATAGATTATTCACTAATAACTATTAAGTGTATGGCATTGGATAATAGTAACTAGTAGTATTATAATGTCATTAATTTTGTGAAGAAATATAAAATATACTATAAAATTACACATCTACAAATTTAATTATTTGTTTTTTTTTTTTTTTAATAGAAACGTTAAAAACTGATAAATAAATTTATTTATAAATACATATATGATACATTTACTATATGATTAAAATGACATAGTTCATAATAAATACAATACATAATTTTTTAAAAAAATACACGTCTTGTAAACATGGCTATTTTAATAGTTGGCTAAGGTAATTTGTTTACATTATCCGCTGATGCATGAACCCAAATAAGATTGGGAGATTATAATTATAATAAATAATAATAATGTATTCAATGATTTTATATACATTTCATAAAATACAAGAATATATATTTTTCAGTAGTATTTGAATTTGATTAAAATAAAACAAATATAAGTGTTTACTATAAATTAAATCAATTACATTTTTAAACAATAAATCACAATAACAATAATTAAGGTACCTATAGAAATTCTACGAAATCAACAGATAAATAACCTGTGTATAAAAATATATAAATTAATATATTTATGTAGATAAATATTAATTTTTGGTATTATATAGAGTTAGCCACTGTGTTCTCCCTTACAGCAAACATGGGAAAACAGGAAAATACAGTAGCCCACTCTGTATATAACAACTATATCATTTGCAGAGTATAAAAATTTGCCGCTTTGTATAACATAAAGTATTTAACAAGTGATAAATTGTTTATATATTAATGTATAGTACAATTTTATATTATGTAAAAAAAAATTTAAGTGGTTAACCTGTTAACATAGGTATAATTAATACATTTTTCAATAATTAGGACTAGGCATAATACACTATTATTTTTAAGTTTAAAATAACTGGTTACTTTTATTTTTCTAAAGAAATTCGGAATCAAAATTAATGGCATTTTGTAGACATTTAAAACAATATTATTACTATTTCATATTATTCACTAGTACTATCCTCAATTGATGAACGTATTTGTTCATCATCGCCTTCATTCATTGGGGAATGGTTATGATCATTTTCCGAGTCAGTATTGTCAAGTGAACCAGATGGTTGAACTGATTGAGTTGTAGTTCGTGGAGCTTCACTTCCTTTAGGTCCGTCTTTACCAGAGACTAAATGAGAAGGTTCATTACGATTTTGCATTCCTTTTAAATGTTTTTCTCCTTTCCTCCATAATGTTATTTCCTGTAAATTAATTTATTTTTCAGCTTTACTTAATTCAGTCACAAAGGATTTTTTTTTTAAATCCTTGGGATTATGGAAATAATAAATATAAATTATTGTGTACTTTAAGTGACAATTTGTAATTTAAGCTATTTAAAAGCATTTAAATAATATAAAGAAGTATAAATTTACAAAAAGCTTCCATTTATGATTTGATATTTAATAACAGTGATCCGAAAATATGAAATTTAAAAGTATAAAAATTTACTCTCCAACTAAATTCTATACTACATAATTTTGGAATTACTCATTATTTACTGACTATTAAATAATTAACAATTAAATGAGGTAAGTATTATAAGTAAGGCTGGGTTATGAACACCTTAAACTTGAAGAATTTTGAATTGTTTGAAGTTCAAGAAAAATGTTAGTTCAAATTCGAACTCGAACATCTAGAATAGTTCAAATAGTTTATCAAGCATAATTTATATTGTTCGAGACAATTTTTTTTCTGTGTGTGCAGGCACCGTTAATTTTTGAAAACCTCATTATTATAATGATCTCTGATTAAGTGATAAACCAATAGGTTTAATTTTTTTATAAGTTCAAAAGTTTGAAGAAGCATTGAGTTAGAATTTGAACAGTTTCAAAATTCTGTTCAAGTTCACTTAATCTTAGGTTAGAACCATCCTTAATTATAAGCCTATTAACAATCAATAATTTTTTATACATTTTATCTAATCTAAATTATAATTTCATTAACATTTATGTAGACAATTTATTGATAATACAATTTAATTAAATTATAAAAATTCATAAAACATATCAACAAAAAATTTCATGTCTTTACGATTATTATGTATTGAAAACAATACATTTATCGCTTTGATAAAAATCTAAAATATATATCAATAATTTATGAATTGTCTAGTCGAATAAACATTATTGTTATTAGTTTTAATTATTTTAAATATGTATCAATAATTTGTGTATTAAATTATAAATAAAATAAGTTATAACATACTTGTTGCTTAAAATAGCGTCTATCTTCTTCATCCATTAAAACAAGATTTAAAAAGTATCTCACTGAAAACCTCTTGTTTACATCTCTCATAGTAGGTGTGAGATCATAACCAGCAAGAAATACTCTAATAGGAATACTTTCTCCTCTAACAGGTGCTCCATCCATTATTTCATACTTGGCTATAGTTTCGTTTTCATTAAATGTATTGGGACCTAAACAATTAAATATATATTTTATTAACTAATTCAAAAATTTCAAATATATTTTACTTGAATAATAAAACTTATATAACATAATGAATCTAACCAGATCCAGTAGTTTCTCTTTTAATGATAGCAATTTCCATGTGTTTTATCTTTATTCGTACAAGTAGAAAGTAAATTTTACCCACAATTACATCTTTCAAGTGATATCTAAAAAAATTTACACATATAGGTTAGGTATTAATAAATTAAAATAACTTTTAAGTAATTGGTAAATTCACACACTTGCACTTATTGTATTCAAACTCAATATGTAAACAATCTTCAATTCCTACTTCCATTTTTATACTATTATTCATATCAGGATAAGATGATAATGTATGAACTATAATATCCATTTCTTTAACTATATCATAGATTCTTCGTATGACGGTAACCCTCAAAAAGTATCTAAAAAAAGTACAAAATTATTTATAACCTATATAAAAACCTTAATATTATACATTTATTAACAATAAATCAATTGTTTGTTTAACTATTCACTATACCTCAGCCTCACATTAGAGCCAGTATATGTCTCATATGGTTTTTCTACATTTAAAAATTCAAAATTATATGAAGTATTCTGCAACATTTCTCCAGGCCTGGCCAGTTCCTTGACTAGTGATGTAAACTCATGATGGTTACCCCGATCATAGTACATTTCTATTTGGCCTATGAATTCAACTTTAATACCCTGGTGTTCCAAACGACTGCTTGACTTTTTTAGTATTACATTAACCTATAAATAATACAATTTTTTTCTCAATACAAGTCAATAAAATTATTTTTAATGAGAATAATATAACGGTTAAATTCTTCATTTGTATAATTATATATTAAATAGCAAACATTAATTCAATGGAAATATGGGAAGGGGGAGGGTGGAAGGCAAGGTATAGATTTCTGTCTAATTTTATAAGAAGCCGCAATAGGTTGGAACAGAAATATATATTTTTATAATTTTGAAAAAATATTATATTGTATAGATAATAGGAAATTATTGTCAAGGTAATAATAAATATTTGTAGTTTTTTAGCTGGAATAATAGACCCCTAAGAGTCATATTGAGTATGTATGTGGAAGGAACATGATATTTTATATTATTAGACAGGTCTATTTTAATAGAAAACACAGCCGGATCGAATCCCTTTAACTTCAAATCATAAGTTGTTTAACAATTATAGTAAGTTACCTAAAATTTTTAAAATATTTCAAAATAAGTATTTAAGTAAAATAAAAATATTAAGTGTATTACTCTTCCAGATACAGTTTCTCCGTCATAGTATATTAAACTTTGATCTTTTTTACTGCTTTCATCTAGTTTCTTTTTTCCATCCGGTCGATCTAAGACTATTTCCAACTCCGCAGTTTGTCCAAGACCAAAAAACGTCTGTAACATTCATGTTAATGCATATTAGAAACAACTATATTTAAAAAAAAGTTTCATTCCATAAATTATAAATTATTACAATAGATTAATTTTGGAAATTTAAACTTATACATAATGAAAACAATTGATGAAACAACATTAGTTTTTTATAAGATGTATTAAATAAAATAGTTGACCAATTTTAAGGCAACAATAATGATAATGATGATAATTGAGGTACAAAATTAAGTTTAAATAATTATTTTTGAAGGTTAGAAAAGGAACAGTTAGGCCAAGCGCACATCAACGTAGTGCGAAACAGGAGGCCAGGTTATTGTACTGAGAATGCGATGGGTTGTGGCAATTTTTTTTTCATTAAATTGAGGTGCGCCCGCCCTTAATCTACAAGAGATTTTTTATAATATTAAGTCTTATTAAACATGAAAATACAATATATATTACAAATTGTGGGGATGTATTATATATTAAAAAAATACAAGAATAGGTAGGACATATTAGAAGTTATATTTTTCAATATTTACCACAAATGAATTAAATGAAACTGCCAATTATCTATAATAATTTAAAATAGCTGAGATAAGGGTAATGCATTTACTCTAAAATAGCTAACTCAAATATACCTACCTCGGTTTTTTTTTTTTTTTTTTGATTTAATACTGCGTGGGGATAGGTAATTTGAATAAATACATGTACCTAAGCATGTTATTATTAAATACATAATTTTAACGCAAGAAATTCAATTTTTGCTCAATATAGGTTAATATTTGTTTACCGATTATAGGCAACTAACAAGATATTAAAGTTTTTCTATTCTTGTTATAATATTCACTGTAGTAATAAAAAATAAAACTATCGATTTCTACTAAGTGATACTGCTCTAAAGATCCTAAAATCAAAATGTGTATATAACATGCTATGTGTTAGCTCAGAAACAATTGAGTGATATAAATATTTCTAACCATACAATTATAAAATAGGTATTGTGAATTTATAAAATAAGAAAATTGGGTAGGTATTTTGTTCAATTAAAATTGATTTAGATTAGATACTTTCTTAATAACATTTAATTAGATTTAACCATAATACTATTTAAATACCATAGGTAGAATGAGTCTATGACTTATCTTGAAAAAATGCATATTAGAATTTAAAAATAAGCACGTAGGTACTGATAAAATCACCCAATTAGTTTTAATTGAATATTCTGCTGAAGTAACATAGTCTAATTTCTAAATCAACTGTGATTGATAATATTATGTTAACATGCAGGATAGCAGCAGGTAGTGAATGTTTAATGACAATTTGGAAAATAACTGGGTATGAATCTACCTATGAACAAAATCCTATTATTAATGACACTTGAACAACAATTGTGTGTGTCAAGGCCCACCGGTAGGTGGTAAATGCATTAAAAATCAGCTAAACGTGTAAAAAGATTGTAACAAATAACAATAATATTTGGAAGCAATCAAACACACAGCCTGACGACTGACACAAACTAAGATGTTACTGGGGGAGTAGCCGCGGTGAACAAACAGCAGTTTATCACCAGAACGGAGGGCGGCACTCACCATTTTTGAGTTTCGTCGTCGGTGGACGGACTAATCTCTGGACGACTGGACTGCCGCCCGCGTACCAAAAAAAAACCGTCGTCGGCGGACGGCACGCGAAGGTGAGCGTCTGGATGAGGATGACGTGCTGACGGAGTCCACCGCCCAACAGCAGAAAAACAGACTCTGTCTTCCGCCGTGCTCTATCTCAATCGGCAGACAATATCATCGTCGTGGGCATGGCTGGCTATTCCGAAAACGCACACGACCAACAATTCGTACGCGGGTCTCCGGTCGATGATTCCCGAGTGCGACGCGACAAAACAGTTGCACACGATTTGATTTTAATTTTTTTTTTTACTTATCAATCGACACACACACGATAGACGTTACAATGAAAAAAAAAAAAAAAAAAAAAACGAAAATAATAAATCGAAAAAAACACCCACAAGCCGACGGCGGTCAATATCACAATAATTATTCACAATATCGCAGATATAATACTATATTATTATTATTATTATTATTACGTACGTACACACAATATTTTATAATATAATATAATAAATATGTATAATAAACGGTGCGTGCGTATTATGTACATACGTATATTCTATGTACATATACAATAATGTTATGTGTGTGGATCACAATACGGTGGTCATATAAGTATGATAATATCACGTACATACAACTATAGAAGTTGGTGCAGTAGCAGTGGTAATGTTTCGACTTTTCGAGATAAGTTTTTATTCGTCGTGACGGACGGGATATGCAAGCGCCCAGTGCAGCCACGTCGCACGGACCGACGGACGGGGAGAGCTGATACCTACGTCACGGCAGACGGTTTTTTTTTTTTTTTTTATTGGAACGTAATAGGTATAGGTAGTAACCAGGGTAGTAGGGTACTGTACATTGAATACCCATGTAAGTATGTGACTTTGTTACTATAGTAACCTTTTTAATAAATATTATATAATTCCTAATGATTAAGAACCTACCAATTAAGTATCAGTTATTTGAAGCTAGTTTCAATTTTCAGTTTTCCCGCGCACCGCGCACGCATTAAAATAGTAATTATATTATCACTGTAATAGTAATAATAAAGTATCAAGTTATTTTTTAAAAATATTTAGAGTCTTACGCATTGGCACCTGCCGTACCTATAGTTAAAATTAAGTAAAATGGCATAATGCTATAAAAATGTATTTTTATAAAAAAAATTAAAAATACCTGAGAACACCTACATGAGTGGGAATATTTCTTCTTTGCTGGGTACCCTACATTTTAGAAATTTTTTTCAACTTATGTATTTTTGATTTTTGAACACTGAAAAATATGAGGCAAACGAAAATTGTTGCAGATCAATAGTTACAAAGTAATAGCCATTTGAAGTTAGTTGTTTTTACAGTTTTGCTTAAACAACAGAGATTTACTATTTGTGACAGTTTATTTATTTATTTTTTCGTTTCTACAGAACAACATGGTAATAATTACTCATTAATAAAATTTAAAAAATCATATATTTATTTTGTTATAAAAACAAAGAATAACAAGGTGCATTGCGTCGTCATTGTTTCTGCTGTCGTTCTCATTGTCATCACCGCCACTAGCGTTATGCCGTTATCGTCGTTACCGCTGCTTTCATTATCATCGAACTCGTGTATGCTGCTATCGCCATAAAATATTCCGGCTTGCCTAAAAAATTTCACTGTGGCATCTAAATTAAATACCCGACATTTTTTAAGAACGCTAACTTTGCCAAATATTCCGCTTAAAAATATTTTTTCTATAATATTGGGATATCGATTCACAAACTCTCCATGATGCTAAAATAGACTCCAGTCTTTGGATCCTTAAAATGGAGGTTATGATATACCGTAAATTGAATGTAATCCTCATTATTTAAAGTATTGTACGCCTACAATTAAAAAGATGAGTAAAAGTGTACCTATATATTTTTAGAAGTTAACTAAAAATACCTTCCAACAATCAGAAATAATCAAAGTTCCCGGTTTCCCCCATTCTTTAATCATTTTCAATAGTGTGTCGGCGGTACGATTTTCCTGCACCGGAACCATGAAACAATTTCCGGTCTCTCGTTCGTAACCTCCGAACACCACATTGCCCTTCTTTCCGTGTCCTTGATGGTGCTTTCTTTTACCAAATTTACTTCTTTCGATTTGTTATAACTCCAAAACTAAGTTATAAGCCAAATTCTGGTTTCACCAATATTTTTTTCACTCAAAATATAACGAGTTCCACAAAAAAATTGACAAAAAAGGGGTGCTACGTAAAGTAAAAATGTGCCAAATTCTTCCCATGTTATCCACCAGTACCTCCAAAATACGTCAATACATGATTACCAATATTCAATCAGAGGGTCACATATATTTCCAATTTATTTTAGTTGATGAAAGTTCAAAAATATTTGTCAAACAGTTATAGTAGAAAATGTTCGTACTTCAGTTTTTATGGGGGTCTCTTGTAATAACAAGGCTATAGAGTTGGTATTTTGGGGTCAAAAATCAAATTTTTCCCGTGATTTCCCAACTATTGGGAAAAACAATACAGCAATTTGGGAAAACTTAGTTTTTGGTTACATTTATTTTTTTCCTCAAAATGAATATTAAACTGTGGGGACTCAAAGTTTCACCAAATGCATTTACTAGAAATGAAATAATTTTGAATATTTCTGCTCTTTGTGCTACTTATCATATCACTTCACCCTGCAGAATCTAAAACTAAAAAAATGGTAAAGATAACTAAAAATTGTAAAGAGTAAAAAACAAAAATGCTTTGTTGCATTCTGCAATGGTGCATTATTGGTGCGTACAATTATATTATCTAATAAATAATATTATCAAAATACTTGGTACTTGTTGAAAAATTATGAGTAGGACCTTAAATTGACCGCTCTACATTGTTATGGTGAGTCATATGATACCATCTATTAATAATGCCTTGTATATATATTCATTTATATTATACGCAGCTAGCACCGAAATTCGTCAGTCATCACACGTTACGTTTCTTATTATTGCGATTTCGGCGTATTATTGTCTTGCAAATCGTTTGAACGGACACGATTTTCGTCTTGCGCTTGTCCAACAGCTTTAAACACCGATGGCTGTCGTATGGGTCGCAAAGACCTTGTTTTTCGGTCGACCTGGCAATCGGATCATCATCGTCCGCTGTTGCCGCCGCTGTCGCTGCCGCCATTGCCGTCAGCAGATCGGTCGCCAAAGGTGTTAGCTGTTTATCCTGCACGTCGTCCGCGCTAATCATCTCAACGTACGTGTGGATGTTATCGTCACTCCACCAGTGATGGTCAAGTTCCACGTGGTCGCTGCGTGAGGCACGCGTGGTCGTCAAGCGTGGCCGGTGGGTCCTGCTGGCTAGTGACTTGGACTTGGTGAACTGTCGCGGAGTGTACGATCCGGCGCCTTCGGGCATCGGACACTCATGCACCATGTCGAACATGCCAATCCGGGTAGCCCAACCACGGCCTCTATTGAGCAGCATCAAGCCCACGCCCTGTACTACGCTCTGGGCCACGCGTTTAGCTGCAGGCGCCACCCGGTCGTGTTCGGCGCAGTCGGCTGCCAGGCACGGGTCGTCCGACACGATGTCTATCAACCACGGCCTCAAGTCATCGCCCAACACAAACGTACCGCGGAAAAGTTCCAAACAGTTGGATCGCAGGTTGAGAGAACCAGATGCCACGGCCGCAGTTACCGCTGACACCACGGATCTCCTGACCGCCGTGTAGACGTCGTTGCCGCCTTCGCCGTCTTCTACTTTGTCGTTGACCAGTTGCTGCTTCTGCTGTTGCTGCACCTTGTCAATTTTTGTACCTCGCCGCATTTTTGCCCCGAGCTGCTTGAGGCTGCAAATCAGCGCCGTCGACCGCACCATCCCGTGCAGCTTCCCCGACTTGAGTCGGTTGTAGTGTCCGGACCTGTCGGAGTTCTGGTACAGTGAGAATCCGTGCGGGTAAGGTTGCAGGGCGCACATACGGTGCAACCACACCGTCAGCCTGCCGTCAAGCGTCGATGTCACAATCCACGTGTGTACGTCCGACTTGACGTTGTCACGCAGTAGCGGCGTCTCGATGTACTTCTGCACGATGTAGTCGTTGTCACCCGCTCTCGCGCAACGGTCCAGCACGTCACTGATCTTGTTCAACATCACCGGCCGGTGACGGTGGCCCGCCGTATCCTTGACTATCCAAATGTTCTCGTAGCCGTCCATCGCTGTCTGTGGCCTCGCTGCCGTCATCTGGTTCACGATCAGTTTACTAGACGCAGACAGATAGCACAGCGCAGCATCCACATCGTCACCCGTCCCCAGCACAGTAAACTTCTTCCCGTCGTGTACAATCATGTAGTAGTGTTCAAAAAACGTTTCCCAGCCATCTCCCTTGCCCGGAAACGTTGTCGCCCCAAGCGACCTGCCGTTCGTTAAATATTGGTGGCATTTAATCGCGGCGAAGTGGAGTGCCGAAAGAGGAGCCTGTGATATTATATGAGATAGAAAAATATACCTATTGTCAAAACGTTTCAAACAAATTGGAGGTAAAAATTAATATACGAAAAATTTACAAAGCCACATCTCACACTTAAGATGACTATAACTATGTAAGAAACACATTTTTTATACAAATGAATTCAATATTAGATTCTGAGAGGAGCGATGGATTCATAGATTTTACTGTGATATGTGATTTTTGTGTCTGAAGAGTGAAGACACTTTTTTAGTAGAATCAAGCGATCATCTGCAACTTCGAAGGAGGTTTCTGGTTGAAAATTGAATCTATATAGAACGAACTTTTGGTAGGTCAAAATTGAAAATCTCAATACTTTTGAAAAATAATTAGAAAAAAATACGAACATATTGTTTGGTAACCTATTAGTTACCCAAAATACCGTTTTCGAATTTTATTATATATATTTTTTATAAATGTTTGCAAAATGTTTTTCACTCTGTCAAAAAAAGCTTAAAATGTAATCCTTGTATTCCTATTATCAATATTGGCGTTAAAGAAAAATGTACTCTCATGCTGTTGTATATACTATATGAAACAGATGCGTTAGAAATGGTATGTTTGGCTCGTGCGGGGTGGTAATTTCAGTCTTTGACGAATTGGTCCAGGACCGGCGGCTTGTTTCACAAACGTCGGGTGACTGAAAATTAAAATGCTCCCTTCCGTCCTTCCTCACAATATATTACTAACCTACTAAATTGGAATCCGAAAATGATGATCATACTACCTCGATATAGAACAAAATAATAATAAATATTTTCGAGTACCTATAGGTACTGTGTAGTGTGTACTCACTTGACCGTTTTTGGCGCACATAGCACGGTGACCGCCGTCCACGAATGCACGCAGTAACGACACGCAAGCGGTTAAAGAGTAGTCTGCAACGAAGTCGGCCACGTATATCCCGTCGGTGCTTGTCGAGTATGCCCTCGGGTAGTGGATGTTAAATTCGGATTTCCCAGCCAGAGCGTGGCCACACAATTTCAACGCTGCGTTCGCGTTTCTCGGGAACCGGTTGACCACGACTTCCGGGTCTAGCGTCATCCAGTTGACGCCGCCACTGTGCTCGTCTATCCATACCAGACCGGACTCGTAAAGCTTGACAACCGCCTTGACGCGCTCGGTGTTACTGTGTAATGATAATATTACGGTGGAACCTAAATATAGGATTCAAAACGATTTATGTAAATATTAAAATGAAAAATCACACTTTATAAAGCACCCCTTACACCGACATCGAATGAGGAATTATAATAATTATTGTACCTACCTATGGGCATCATCACATGAGTAACAAATACTTTTGATATTTTAGAGAATATGGTTTCTCTATCCTGATCCGTAACAAAATACTAGAGCAAAGATCAAAGTCAAAATTAGCACACACATGCCAAATTGGAATGTTAAATGAAATGTATTAGCAAAGTGTTAAAAACATCCACTTATTATCAATGTACCTAAAACCTTTATTTTTGAACATCATCTATAAAAATCATTTTTATGAAGATACTAGCATTGAATTTTCAAGTTATTTTACCAAGTGAAAACATTTTTATCGAAAATTATTTCTAAAAAGATTCTCATACCTATAAATAGCACAAAAAGCCAAATTATTTCAAAAATGTTACCATATATTGAAAAAGCTCAGTTAAATATTTGGTAAAAATTTCATATGTCTACGGTTATTACTTTTAAGTTACATCAATAAAATAAAATAAATATTTTTAAACAGGCATATTGTATTTTCAGAATCAAATATATTGCAAATGTATAAAATTATTAAAATTAATCAAATTCAATTAATTTGTATGGAAGTTACTACTAGCTACATAACATACAATTTTCCCAAAAATCGTAGAAAAACTCAATTAAATCAAAAGCTTAAATTTAAAAAACAAATTGATATATCCACCATAGTAAAAAGAAATATATTATTTCATTTATAAGTTTTTATAAAAATTTTAATAGGTAGTTAATAATAAGAATTATTATAATAGTTTAAATATATTTTATTAATTTATTAATACAGGTAGCTACTTAATACTATTACCTATTCATATAGCCCATATTGGGAACGTCGTAAGATCATAGCTGAAAATCTATGATTTACTATCTGCCTCCTCTGGGCTCTGGCCTTGCTTACAAAAAATTGTGACTGGATAAATGTGTTTTTAAGTGTAAATCATATTACTTATATTTTATTTTAATGGCATTCCACCCGGCGTTGCCCGTGAGACTCGCTTGGGCTTATATACGAGTAGTAGATTATATTATTATCAGACTTCCCGACCCCGAGGTGAGTTCGTAAACATCAAAGTTATACCTAGTCGTATTTAAATTATACAACATCACAAGTCTCAAGCTATCCTATATTCCTATCTAATATCCTTTGTCTGGCAACAATCGAAAAATTAGTGTTAGGATTTTAGGAATACCATCTTGCATTTTTACTAAATTATCAAATCATCTAAAATAGTTGCTATTGGTTACAAATCATGTATATAATTCTTTAGTTTCTTTTTTGCTGGACAGATGACGTCACTGTCATTTCATCACTACCACACATTTTTCTCACAACCGCAACTTTATCCGACTAAATTTATGAATAAAATCCTTTTCCGTGATATACTTTTTTTAATTTAAAAAAATGATACATGCAATAACATTATTCTACAAATTTTCAAATTGAATAGGGTCCATTTTTATGTATATCTATACAGGTATAAGTAAAATAATAAACAATAATAATAATAATAGATAGATTATTGTTAAAATTTAAATATAATAGTAAAAAAAAAAAAATATAATATGTATTTGCAGGTTAAATGTCGATTAAAATATATAAAAGACCTATCTAACTAGGTAATTAATAATCTAAATTAATAATCTAACCTACTACTATTTTTCTCTCGTCTATTACGTTGGTAATGAACTGATCCTGCACGACATTTCCCTTGACAAATGACAATAATTAAATGCCCTTGGGTTTACCCTTCTTAAACTCAATTAAATGTTAGTTTCACAGATATTTTTTAACACACTTGTGTGATTTTGATCAAATTTAAAATAGGTACATATGTAAGATTATATCCAATCATAATAACTATTCAGTTCAGTGGGTGGTAGGTAGGTACTTACCGCCTCGTCGGAAATAGTTGCCGTCTACAGTAATTTTGCCGATCCAGCCATTTTCGATCAACATCGTCTGAATCTCGGCTGGCATTTTAGCCACTGAGGTAAATATTTTTCTCTCGCGGATCGCTTGGTCTACTGTGCCCACCGAGTTTTTGCCGCTTTGTCGACGAAACTTGCAGAACGGTAACTTAGCGTTTGCGCCTTTGGAGCACTTGGTAACCGCGCTACCAAACTTCACGGTTGCCGAACCTTTAGGTCCGAACGAACATACCTTTCGCGTCCGTTTAGCAGACCCATTACATGACGGCGACTTACCGCTTATGCTTCTGATGGATAATATTTTACCTCCGTTGTCTCTAAGTGCAATGTGATTGTTACTGGCCATTAGTACGTGTAAAAGACACAAATTATGTGTTTGGTGTTAAAATATATGAATAAATGAGCATAATTACGTGAATTGGTAGGGTTACTATAGTTAACCATATAATGCTTTGAGTAGTGATGGCAACGATGTGCCATACAAGTTCTATTTATAACTGACAACGGTGTTCAATAAAATACATTATATTACATTTTACCATGAAGTGTTATTATTGAATAACTTCTTCAATCAAGCCAACCATGACCTATGATCTACTATGTATCCCTCCATTGTGCAGTTTATTGTAAATATTTTATACAGATTGTACGAATTAAATAAATATGCCATGTCATATTACATTTTGAATGCCGATAAAATCATTTGCTATAGATATCTACTGGGAATAGATTATGATTATTTTTACTAGCAGTGTTTATATCAAACCTTTCTATCCCGGTGGGTTATCGTACATTTTCAAAGGGATAGAAGTCATAGAAATAATTAATGAAGGTAAGTAAAAATATTTTTTTGTGGTGCTGCACATTTTTCTAATTTGTGTTGGTGAACTTAGAGTAGTGGTAATACCGCCATATTTATGACAGCATTTTCACATACGATTTTTCGAACAAACAAAATTTGTTGCCCGGCGAATTGTGTAGGCAATATAGGTACATTACTGAAAAGTTTAATTTTGTAAATAATAATTGCCTTTTAACTCATTACAAGTAATATACTAAATAATAAAATGGTTGCGCACTATCCAAAATGGATCATATCCTGCCGCAACCACCTAAATCCACTCTCCTCGCCTCTATTCATATGTGCTAAGTAACCACATTCTTCCCGCGAATGGAGTATTAAATATGGTACATTTAGATATCCGATATTGTATACACAATCAAATACGAGAATATCTGAGCGCAACGAGAAACCTATAAGACGACGAGGGGTAAGTGTATGAACAATTTATAAATACTAAAATAGGATGTACAACAATAATTATAACACTAATTTTAAAAGACTATTTCAATTAAAGGGTTAATTATTACATCTAAGAACAGACAATGATATAATTAGGAATAAAGTAGATGTGTTCACATAGTTTATTGCTTGTTTAAACTAACTTATTTTATAAATACAATATAGAGGAAAAAATTAGATTAAAGTAGTAAGACTATTCAAATATAGTAACAAAAACATAGAAAACTATAGTATAGTAAACTTAATAATTAGTTTTATTAACAAACGATTAATCAGAGTTATACCTGAAAGACCTGGTCAATGTTTAAAAAAATCAACTAGAGTTAAATTGATAAAAAAAACATGAAAGGGGAACAATAAGGGCGCAAACAGGGAAAAGTATTTTAAGGAGCAAAAAAAAAGGAATCAAAAGAAATAATTCGACCAGATAGTAGATACATGATATTATACTGAAAACTGTGGTCTTTAATCTCAAGCTTCAAAGTTCAAACACAAAACGTAACGTAGGTACATTAGAGGTTTAGAGATTCAGTGTAATGGATGTGTTAAATTTGAATTTTCTTTGTTTTCAATTTTTAGCTATAAAAATTGATAGTTATATGATTTTTAAACATAAAATAATTAAAAATTTTCCTAGGAGTTGATAAGATTTTTTCATAATTTAAATTTAAAAAAATTGTAGGAAAACGTAGTGATTACGAATCTTTAATATTTATCAACTGCTATTTTAACAACATATAATAAACCTTGTTTTAAATTTTCAAGCTTTTTGACATTTTTTTGAATACAATTTTATTGTCAATCATAGAATTAAAAACCAAAACTAATTAAATTTCAAATATCTATACATTTTCTTATGTTTAGTAAATAATAAAATAAATATTTGATGAAAATTTCAAGTACCTACGGTTAAAAGTTTTTGAATAGCAATAAAATAATAGAAACTCGTTGTATACTTGTATGAGAATATGAGTTATCGAATTATCAATTACGCGGTAATAATTTAGATACAGTTTTTCTGAACAAAGATACAACTCTGCGTATGCATCTAATATATATGTACGTCCATTTTTTTATCATTATATTTTATATCATATTCTTTATAAATAAGTTGTTCATACATTTGAATGTATGTATGCATTTTTATAACAGCAGAATATTTTTATTTTACACCATTAAAATTTTAAGTAATAAAGGAAATGTAACGTCTCACACGGTGCCTGTCAAGATTCGACGTGCAGCGTACATTGACGAAATTGGACACCAGACAGTTTCAATCCTTTGCGGACTTTTTCTCATTTTGGTGCCGGATCCTGGAGTCATTTCACTATAACAGAATTATTGGTAAAAGGAAAATTGAAAAAAATAAAATTGATTTAATTAATTATTGATTCTTATTAATTTTATTTATCTTGTAACAAACGCTTAATATAAATTTATAAATAATAAAATATAAGCTTTTTGTATTTTTGTTTGATTAAAAAAAAGACATCTCTTGTTGCTATAGTTGACGTTTGTACCAATGTACACATCTTTTTTTTTTACTCTTTCATATATAAAATTACATGTGGCTTTATTTTTGTTGAACTAGGGGTATTTTTAATTTTTTTTGCCAAATCTTTGTGCACTTCCCATCATGTATTTACACGGTGTACATACGCTATATAATGATCATGTTCATGAAAAACTGCTCCGGATAATATATATCTAAAAATTATTTAAAACAATTAATTAAATAATATATTATTTTGAAGTATAATTATATACAATACCTGTTATTATCAATTGTCAGACTATACTGCAAGTCAGCCAATGAGTACTCTTGATATTCAGTAATTTAATCTGTTTCAAATGTTTCAATAAATATATGATTTACTAGAATTCTCGTTACATTTAAAAATCCTAAACAGTTTAGTTTTGTGCATTTAGTTTTTTAATTTCACTGTATTCTTTCGAACTAAACTCCAAATCATTGAGATTGCTGAATGATGATTTTAAAATTATTCTTGGACTTGGTATATAGTTTTCGACGTAGCACAGTTGAAACACAGTCGTTTTCAACGGCGGATGACACACTTTCAAAACACGAAAATTATAAGGAGTTGTGTGTTGTACATAGCAAATAGATACATTAGACTGCGAGTAAACTGCATTACTATTTTCTTTTTTAAATCGGGTGAAATTTGTGAAGTTGAAATTTCGAAACATTTTCCAAAATATGCAAATTAAGCACAATAACGTAAAAATAAGCGGTTTCCGGCAAAATGTATGAACTATGCAAAATATGCACATTCAAATTTTAGATTTGGTATGAATTTATTTCGCACTCTACTACATTTTACAATAAATAAAAAAAGTATGCAAATGCTATAAGTCCCGAACCTTGGTCATAAGGTTTTTCCCCCGTCACTTACCTTTATGTGAGAGCCGTACCTACACGGCTGTGTATACATTACATTATTTATTACACTATAGTGTAATAGTATAATATAGTCACACAATTTTTTAGCAAATACTGCACACTATTATAGAATAATATTGTTTGACAACATATTAATACCGAGCCTAGAGATAATATTATATTCACGATTAAAGTATCCATTTTTTTATTAGTTCTGTAAATTTCAAAGCCTAATTTTGAATTTTTTTCATGTCTCGACACTTCTAGAGTTTTATATTAAGTTATAGTTTAACCGTTAAGACTAAAAACAATGCAGTGAGATGCCGGACAAAAAAATGGACTCGCGACAGTAGTATATCTAAATGGCTTATATACGCAGAGTTTTGTGTTCTGAATTGTATAGATTTAAACACTCCGAATATTATTATGTTTCGGAATCTGAAATAAAAAATGTATCGTGTCATCCAAAGAATTCAAAAACTCGAAAACTGTTATCAACATATTATATTATAATATCTATCATCTATGGCAAAAGCCGATCGTCGTCACTCGTCGGAGACGATTCACAATTCTAATAATTTCATTGAACAAAAGAGAAATGTGTAAGGCAACAATAAACATTTGCTCACATATTTCATTCTACTCAAGTAATTTTTATAAAAAATCAGTTCGGGTTTAGATGAAGAAAGAAGTTCCCCGATATGGCGTCTGCACTCAAGATATGGCCTTGCAGCTATATATTACCCGAAGAGTCGATGTACCTATACGTAAGTTTGATTACCTATTTTTTTGGGGCTTACATATTTTACTTTTTAGTTTCAAAATTAAAATTTATTGTCGCAGCCAATTTGCTACCCGGGTGAAGTAGGGGCATATTTTTTGTTCCCGAGCGCGCAACACAAAAAATACGCTTATAGCACATACGACGACGGCATATCCAGGTCGCAGAATAATTACATATTTATACAATTAAATAGATATAAATAGTGTTGTACATACTTGTCATACTACAGTAGTACGGTACACGGGAGTTCTTATATCCCGAAAAATTCAACAATTTTTATTTTTAGTTTATATAAATGTTGAGTAATATACTAATATATGAATATTACTATGCCGTCTGCTTGTGGTCGAACCGCGAATTAAAGTGACGCCGTCGTACATCAAACACCAAATTATTTTATAAAGCTGGGAAAGTCGCTCTGCTGATTATTGAATATCTATCGGAAATTAAATAAGGAAATTTTAAATTTTAAATATTCTCGAATAGCTTAAAATATACCTAACCAATGCACACAAAATTAATACATAAAATATTAATTATTAATTTCGTGCTCGACAGTATTCAGAGAAAAGATTCAACTTGGAATTGTACAAACTATAGTTGGTATAGTCGGTATACGGTAAATGTGATGCATTAGGCACTGAATATCTGTATGTTAAAGCTAAAAAGTAGTAATCTCATTTATTTACAATACGATTTTTATTTAATAACTCATAAAAAAATATGCTTGTGCTTCGAATATTTAAACACCAC